AATGTTTTTTCGGAATAATTGAGTGCATCTAATAATAATGTCATACTTTGAAATATGGCTCTATAAGTTAATTTACCCTGTCAAAATCCGTTTTGCGCTTTATATAGTATTTGCTTTTGTTCGAAATATATTATTAGTCTATCATAATTATATATATATATATATATATAATAATATATATATATATAATTATATATATATATATATATAATTCAGACGCGCGCGCTCAGTCATCGTGTTCGTCCAGCGCTAGAGGTCGGAGCACGGTCACAAAAACATTTATAACTTTTGAATAATAATTACTTTTTTTTCACTAAAATTTTCGCAAGGGATTGTAAAATCAGATGAAATTCTCGCAGGCGGAGAAGTTTTGTTAATTTTCAATTGTTTAAAAAAAATAGTTTTTTTTAAGGTTTGCCCCAACAACAAATTTTTTATCGTAAAGTATATTTTTCAACAAAAATGATGATATAAAAAGTATTAAGTTTTTTTCAGTAGTAATCAATTTTTAGGAAAAACATTCACAAAAAATGTAATTATTAATAATAATATGTAAAAATGTAAAAAACACGTGTTAATTTTTTTGATAAGGAAACTGATTAATAGAGCAACATTTCTTATCATTCTTTTCATACAAAAAATACTTTTGTAAAAATAAGGTCCTTTTGAAAATTACAAAAATTATGGTTAAATTATTGATATAGAACTTTTTTATTAAAACTACAAAATTTGTAGATTATCGTCTATTTTGACTAATACGGTCAGTCATTTTAAGTTGTTTTCAGAAATTTCGATGCAAATGTATATTTTTTTATTTGGAAAATCATACACTAATTTTTGTCAAATAATTGTCAATTTTAAGCCTGCCATAGTGTTTTTGTAAATGTTGATCTAAAATTCCTATTCCTTGCCCCAACTATAGTTGTATACAGATTTTTAAGAATTTTCGGTCACTTTTGGCAAGCTTTAAGAATTTTCGGTCACTTTTGGCAAGCTTTAAAAATACCGGTAATTGTTCTCCATTCCATTTAAATATTTCTATAATAATAATATTATAATAGTCTATAACTTTCTTTTTCTTACCCCCTGTCTAATTTGTTCCCAAAATGTTTGAAAACTTATGACAAAAACGTAATTTTTGGATCTCTTAAGTAAATTTAAGTTTTATTTGTAAAACTTTAAAACATCGTTTTAGAGACCTAATGGTAACTATTGTGTGGATATTAATTTTTGGTTGGGAATCTCAAAAAAAATCCATACATGTATGGATTTTTTTTGAGATGCATGATGATTCATAATATAATTTTTTTAATTTAAAAATACAACGAGTCGAAATATTTATTTTCATTCATTCATCAGCATTGATTTATAAATACTATACGTATGTTACTTTTTTTACCAAGACAGGGCATTATTAAGAACTCGTACAAAAAAATTTAACGTTATCAATTTAATTTTTTCCATAGCCACTGTTAAAGTTGCATTTTATCTACTAAAAATGATACTTTAAAAGCAAGGATATATAAAGAAATTTTGTTTTTAAGTATAATTACCTATAGGTACTAATTTAAATCGTTATTTATTTTAATACAAATTTTAATGTTGCAATAATTATTAATATTCTTATAAATAAGTACCTACTTGGTTTTATAATTTTTACTAAATTTTGACGTAAAAAATGATTTAAGAAGATAAAAATACCAACTGTCAAAAGAAACTGGTTGTAGTATAAAAATAACATATTTAATTTAATTGCACTACAAAAATATTGAATTGTGATTTATTATTTTTTTTGGTACTAATGCATATTTATTGTTTATAATGTATGAAGAAATCTAATAGTAATTGTTGAATGTATACATGTATAGTATGCATACATACATTGTATACATACATACATGCATACATACATGCATACATACATTGTATTTTAACCTTTGGGGTTTACGCCAAAATAAGCTAGTTTTTTTTACTTTTGCATTGGTGCCACTATTTTTGAATAATTTTTAATTTTTATAAGGCCTGCTTAGATCTGCCATATGGGTCGAAATTTATTGAACTACCATTGGGCAATTTTTTTCGAAAAAATGTTGCATTTGATTTATACATGCCTTAAATACCTTTATGCAAAGTTTGAGCTTAATACCTTATAATATATTATAGGGTAGCAAATTTTCCTTTTTTTTACTTTCTGACTGACCTTGTATAAAAGTCTATCTTGCGTACAAAAAAGGTGAATTATTCATTTGACGTAGTCATATTAGATATCTAGGGGACGAAACCCCATGAAATTAAAAAAAAGGTATAATCTCCTATTACGGAATATGACCGTTCTATAGATATTATAATGTAGCGAGTACCGCTCTGGATCTCGGAATGATGAATCATCGCCGATGGGTCATCGCCGGTGAGTCAGCGCTCGAGCGATCGAAAGCGGCCTGGAGCTCGCTGGAAGATTCGGGAAGGCACGTAGGCACTGAATATATAAGGAACAGCGCAGCATGGAGCAGTTAGTCAAGCTTTGGTACTCGCGACGAAATAAAATAAATATACGTGCAAATAAATAGACTCTTGTACAGTAGTGTTATATAAATAATTAGTAGTTAAGTCTTTAGTTAGTTTCTTAGGGTCGGTTTTTCAATCGTTGGTTAAGTTTATCTTACGGTTAATTTCCTTAGATACTATTGTTAACACAATAGTATCTAAGAAAGTTAACCGTAAGATAAACTTAATCAACGATTGAAAAACCGGCCCTTAGTGCTTTAAGTGTAATTAAGTTATAAAATAAATCGTTTAGTTCGTTAATAAACCAGTGCGTGTTTTATTTCACATTACCAACAGTAAAAATGTTACAATAATATCACACGTGGAATTATTATATTTCTTAAAGTGTTACAGTATAACTTTACTTAAATTACCAAAATTAAATTTGATATAATTATGTATTTGAATTTTAATTTGGATTTTCAATCAGATCATGCTTCACATTAAGTAGACACTAAACTATCAACAAAATTATAAAGAGTAATATCCTAATCGCAATAAGCAAAATAGTCGGTGTTTGTTATCAAATAATCTATTTAATTATTATTCAGACAAGTGACTAATTGTAGTACACGTAGAATCTAAGCCCCGTTTCTTAGCATTATTACCTACTGTAAGCATTAGGGAAGTCGCAATTTCCGCCTCTGCATTGGGAGCGCAGAATGGTTCCAACCCGGCGAAAACCATGAATTTGCATGGATTACCCCTTAACATCGATCGTCATTTAAGTAATCCTTAAATCCTCGTTAGGGATTGGTCGATTGTCGGAACCTGCGAAACTCTCGAACAAATCGAACAGGGAATTGCTTTAAAAGATTTTTTATTTAACAAAAGTTTACCAATTCAATAAAACACAATTCTTTTACGCTAATATTTTTTTTAGGTCTTTTTTTTGCTTAAAAACAAATTCTACACTGTCATAAAAATCAGATTTGTTAACATGAGTTTGTAGTTTGTTAATTTTATTATGTAAAATTTTAAAATAATTTTTTGTAGAAAACCAGGGTTTGTAATTGTAACAAAGGAAAATATTTTACCAAAAGTTTTGTAAAAGTAATATGCAATTTTATAAGCATTTTAAGAATTTCAAAGGTTACAGATTATTTTGTTAGTGTTTAACAAATTATTTCGTTGAAAAAATACACGTGATTTCAGGCAGTCAATCAAAACGTTTCCCACTGTCAATATGCATCAACGAGTTCAACTGACTTCAGCGTCTGCAACGTATGTTTCTACTTACTTTTTTTTAATTCGTAACGTGTTTGTAACAACTATCGAGAGTGTGTATAATATATTACCAGAAATCTGTTATTATTGTTATTCGGGTTTCCTTGTACCTATTTAACGAGTGTGCGAAGTATCCGAAAAAAGATGCCATCACTGGTTTTCAAATTGAAATTAGGGATACAGTGAAGTAGGTTAAAGTTACGAAATACATCAGTAAGGGCCGGTTTATCAATGTCCAGATAAGTGTCTTAACTGGTAAATAAAATTAAAGTGGTAGCTAAACTGTTTATCAATATGCAACTAACGTTTACTAAGAACTTAATTTAAGATAACTGGAAGTAAATTTAACTGGAAGCTGCAAGTGTCAGATAGTGAATTAACTACCAGTTATCGCGGTTTATAGGTTATATTTGTGTTTGAGTAGTGTTATTTTTGAAATGAATATTGGAGATTTTTTTGAAAGTCACGACGATGAACAAATTGTTGACACGATAGAAGACTTATACAGTTTTAGAACTGGAAGAACATTTTTAAAATTATGACGTTTTTTTTAGATATCCGCTGCAGAAGCAAAAATAGAGGAGGAAATAGAAACTTTTACGGATACATATCCGTAAAAGTTTCTATTTCCTCCTCTATTTTTGCTTCTGCATATATATAGAGAACAATTTGAACCGATCGATTTTTTTTTGGTAAATTTATTTTTAAATTAATGTGTGTAACAAAGAATAAAAGATAATAAATTGTATAAAAGATATTTATGTACGTATTTTTATTTAAAAACATACCCATATCTACACCTATAAAATAATAAAGAAACATAACAATTTACACAAAATAAGAGTCGATTGAGGTTGTGTTTTATGCGCATGCCATGAATTTAAATTTAACCAATTAAAATGTATCTTGACAGTGTTGCCCAATTGCCGTATTGCTAAACTGGCAGATAAGAAACTGGGACCGTACGAGGTGAAGAAAAACACCTCTATTCCGATAACTGTCAGATAAAGGTAACTGTAAGACATTGATAAACCGGCCCTAAGTGTTGTAGTAGTACTGATAATTATATTGTACGTTGTATGTTATTTTGTGTTCATTCATGTAGGTATGTGTTAATTTTTTTGTTTAGGAAATTGGTTAATAAAGCATCGCGTAGTTTGTAGGCCATTTTGGGTCCCTCTGAATAAAAATGCTAATATGACCAGAGAGAGAAAAACTGATTTACTTACCGATAAACCAGGGATTTCTCGGGTTGTTCTCGACATTCAAGCTCAAAAAATAGTCCTTAAATCCTTTGACGGGATTCGCTTGCGGTTGTACCGATAAGGTGCCCTCGACTTCCGCCTCGTTGCCATCGGAGACCAGAGATCGCGCGCTCCAGCCGTCGGAGCCGATCCAAGAAAAGGCACCGGTCGCGTTGCAGCGACGCACTGCTTTCATCAACTCGGCGACTTCCTGGTCCGAACCAAATATTATGCATCCTGAAATAATAAAAATAATAAATAAAAGCAAATTATTTTGGTAGACAGGAAATGAGAGTTCTGCAAAATATTCAAGTAGATAAAAAATGAGGGTTCTGTAATAATTTCTCAACATATGTATCTATATATTAAAGCTGTTACACCAGTGGCGGACTAAACCCGTCGGGGGCCCGGGGCGGTAAAATAAAATGGGGCCCCTATTCTGCTTATGAATTAATGTAATTGTTTTGTAAATATTAATGTTTTGTTATTTTAAATTTGTTAGTAGATCCTCTTAGCAAGTCCTTTGCAACACTCTTAATGTAATCAGGGATATGAAAATTGATTACAAGCTTTTTACTTATACTTAGTATACTTATATTTGAACTTGTTAATAATTTAAATTTTAAAAATCAAGGGGCTCACTCATGGCAATCTAAGATTAACCATTATTTAATGTAATTATAACATTTCTTCTAATTCCTGATGGATTGCAGCTAGGGGTTACCGAGACCAAAATATTAAAAATCTTTTTTAGTTTTGACTTTATATTTTGTTTTTTTTTTCATAGCATGTTATTCTTTAAAAACTTGAAATCACTGTTTTTTTTAATCAGTTTATATTTTATGGTAAAGCTGGGTCCTGAAATATTTATACCTATACTAGGGTTTTAAAGTGCCGAAAAAAAAAACGAAAAAATTGGGGGAAAAACAGGCATTAAAAAAGTTATTTTTTGGAAAAAAATATATACCTACATTTGAAAAAAGTAGCGATCAACAGCTTAACATTAATTTAATTTAAAAAATATAAAACTAAACATTGAATTAAATTAAATTGATTTAAGAACATGATATTATGATTATATTCAGCGTCGGAAATTCACCTACATTAGGGTGGAGCGAAATATGAATATTTTTAAAATTGAAAACGCCTGTATATATGTATATAGAAAACTTGTGTATGATAAAAATAAATATTTTGTTGAAAAAAAAAATAATATTTTTTTAATTCCTTTCACTGCCCCAGAGCTATTCTAAATATAAAAATCATAAAATTCAGACGAGGGCAGAAAACGCTTAAACATTTTTTTTGAGCTAAGATTTTTTTTGAGCTTAACTAACTTTTCCAAAATTGGGGCCATTGATTTTCAAAAAAAAAAGCTAAATGGGGGCCCCCGGTCAATTTTAAAAATAAAAATATATATATACATATACAAAAAAAAAAATTGACTTGCATTAAATATGCTTTTAAGGCTACATTGTATTATTTCGCTATATAAATTCTTTAAGTAAAAATAAAAAAAGTTGTAGAGGCGCCAAGTATCGAACCCCGTATCTCTCGCATTCCAAATTCCAAATTCGAAAGTAATTTATTTAAATATAATACATTAAAAATTTTGTAATCAGCCTAACTATGGTATAAAGGTATACAAAGGGAATTTAGAGAAATTTAGAGAGTTTAAGGAATTTTGAGGCAATCCTGACAAGGATGAGTAGACGAAAAGAATATGAAAAACAAAATATAAAAAATGAAAAATGAGTGGAGTGTTTAATTTTGTGATGACAAGAAGGTTAAAACTTAAGTAATTAACCTTCCTGTCTGGGCTTTATACCGCAGAAGGATCTCGATTATTTTAATTGTTCGGTGCTGTTCCGCTTTTACTCGCATAGCGATTTTGGGGAAGGTACTCAGTAAAGAAATTTCAGAGAAAAGGTATGAATAAATAAAAATTGTGAGTGATTTGAAGGAAAAACAAATTAGAAAAAACCTTCTTTAAAATTTTGATATTTTTCAGAAAGAAGAAAGAGGGGATAGTACAAGAGGAAAAGGAAGAGTGGAAGTGCCGAATATGCAAGGCAAGCGCTCTTCCTTCTGAGCCACCGAGCTTATTGTAAACATTTTATCGCTCGGAAAATAATACCGTAGAACAAGTAAATTTGGCAACTTCGGTATGGTTTTGGCGATTTAGCCTCTCGTAGATGAAAACGTGGAACGCAAGGTGGGAATCTCACCGTGGGATTTAGCCGTTCGTAACCGGAATTCAGCTTTCAATAGACAGCTGTCAAACGCGTATGTTACAAACGAGTGTTTTTGAGAATAAGGCCAGAAAGTGTTAAAAATATCGAAAAAAAACCCGTGGCACGATTTGTTGTGTTATTTGGTGTTTTCAAGAGGAGTTTTTACCGGTTTCCCAATAAACAGTGGGAATCCGAATGAAGAAATAAATTGCATACAGTCACTGTAAATATCAATTGTACTTACTAGATACAAATTGTATCATACAATAGATACAAATTTTATTAATGATTTACGTAAAAATTGTAAACATTTCAATTCAGTAAAAATCATAAAACTGTTTTATTAAAACAAATAATATTCTAAGCGTTGATTAAGAAAGTCTCCACTTAACGGTATAATATCAAAAACCGGTATTATATTATTTATTATTTATAATATTATGTTGCCATGAATTCGTAGATATATTTTGTCGTTTAAAATGCACTTGTCGGCGTTTTTTTAAAGGATTTAAATATGAAAATGCTTGATTTTAAGGTTATGTTTGTACAACAATTAATTTTTGTTAGATTTATTAAAAATGTCCACACTTAAATTTAAATTATATTAGGTAAATTTATCATTACTAATTATTAATCATATTTTAAATTTATTTTAATATTTTAAAGTATCAATAATTGTTAAGTTTAATTAAAATAATAACGGGCAATGCTAATGGTGAAAATTACGTCAAAAATGTTTATTATGATGGTTGTATTATTTTGGTATAGGAGTCATTCCAAATAAAAACACCAAATGGGGTGCGCTGCATGATTTTTTATTTTGATGAAAAAATTTGAGGATGATCTTTTAGGTGTCAAATATGAAAATCCGTTGCCGTTTTAATTTTTTGTTGCTTTACTTTTATTTGGCACCCCTTAGAAGTCTGAAATAGTGTCAATTTCTTACTCTCTTATAGTGGGCCAGAACTTTTTTTCTGTGACAAATATTGAAAGAATTTTAATTTTGTTATACTGTCCAGTAAGTGTGTTTTCGATATAAATTATTTTTATCCAATTAGTTAATCTCATAAAAGAATGGTAAACCACTAAAGATTCATGATAATTTGCCAATTTTTGTGATTTTTGTCTGGCTCCTGTGCCTATTCTACTGAATTTAGAAGGTTCATTTTTTTCAGGTATAAAGTACTTATACAATAGAAAACGTAACTATTATTTTAAGTTTCTAGACTATCAATTTCTTTATTAAAAAAATTATTGAAAATTGATAATTCTCAAAATTAGCCAATTTTGCCCTCAGAAATCATTATGTTGAGGAAAAAATAAAAATCTGACACTTTCAGGAAATGTAGTCCCCACCTTTATCTTTTCAGTCCAATTAGTCTTGTTTTGTTATTTTTATTCCTTTAAAAGATATATTAATTTTTTTAATGCCCGTTTAGTAGCGATATTGTTAGTTTTATTTATAATTTAAAATTTAGATGGTGTGATTTATACTATTTTCTCGATTTTAACTTTTATTTAGGTTTTTTTAATTGTTTTGTGGTCGTTGTTAGTTAGGGGATTTTTCTCGCAAAATGTCAGTTGGCAACACAAAATGACAATATTTGTTATCCTGCACAAGTACAACCTGAACTGCACTTTTACACATTAAACTTAAAATTTTGCATTAAAATGCATTGTTGGAGCAAACTTTATATTACAAAACAATAATAAAGGCTTCATTTTCAATAAAAGTAATGAATTTGAGGTTATTAATCAGTTTGACATTTTGGGGGTACCAATACTTAAAAACTAAATGTTACCAAAAATCGTTTAAGAATGAGCTTCATTCTTCAACGATTTTGCGTGCGAGAATATGACATTCTTACATAAAAATCGAGAAATATTTTTTTAATGCAAAATATAAAGATACTTGGCATAATAATATAGTTAAATCAAAAAATAATCAGTTAAAAATTAAAAATATTTAAGAGTTTATTCAAGAAAAATATACATTGGGGTCAAAATTTACCCCCCTTGGTCATCCGAAGGTTAAGCAAAGTAAATTTATAATAACAGAATTCTTATGGAAAATATAAATAATTCTATGCGCACTAGCTGCTGTATCTGAAATCTCAGGGCGTTTTGTTCTACCGTAACTATATAGGATTTCTTATATAAATCAGACTTTTACACTCTAACAAGATTTCGCGCACATCTATTTAATAAAATAAATTGTCAAAACGTTATAGTTAAACAGAATTGTGTAAATTTAACATCGCAGCGCGTCGCGACGTTACTAGTTGTGCAGCAGGCTTAAAAATTCTTAAATTAAATTTCGCAAATACCTACTTCAAATTTATTTAATACCGTAAGCCAATTAAATGACAAATTTTACTTTTCTTTGGCTATTGTTGTGAAAATTCGTCGCAAATTTAAATTAAATTTTTCTTTTTCAAATTATGTTTATTAATTTGGAGTTAAGAGTTTTTTCTGTTCAATTAAATTTAATATGAATAGGCTTTAGCATGAGAGATTGCCAATTAATTGTGACTTTAAAAACTCATTATTTCTTTAAGAAATTCTTTGATAATTAGTTTAATGCTATTATCAATATTATTTTCTTACAAATTTTGTTTCATAATTTGATGGTTCTAATCCTTAAATAATTGTTGTTTTAATTAGATTATTATTAATTTTTTTTATAAAATATTTTTGTAATTTTATCATAAACCGTCTATAATTTTTAAACTTTTATCGCGCCACAGAGAAAACGGGAACGTACCGAAAGTAATTTGAAACACATATTTAAAAATTCAAATTGTCCAACGCAAAGGATAAGGGAGATAAGAATAAAAACGATAGCCAATCCCAATAGATCACCACAGGGAATTCTTTAAATTGCTAGGATACTTAAGTTGCATTGTTGATAATAAAAAAATATGTAAAACATTTGGTCCACTGGAATTTAATTCATTGTAAAACTGCTGTCAATCTTTACTCCTGTCATTAATATTATATTAG